AAACCCCTTCCCCCTGCTGCCCTCCTTCCCCTATCAGGACCCCCCGCCCCGGGCTTGTCCTTTTCCCCTTGTCCAGAAGGCCCCCCCCCCTCCTTCTTTTATCTCCAAGGCGGGGGGGGGGGGGGGGGCCGGCTGCTGGCGTGCTGCTCACGACGCGGTGCGGCAGGACGACCGGCTTCGGGGGAAAAACGTGCGAAACGTATTCATGATGGCATCTCCCGCGCGCGGGCTGCGTGCTCGGCTGCGTAAGCAGCCACAGCGAGTGTGACGGACCAGAAGAAGAGGGGGGGGGGGTTATCCTGGGATGGACTGGACAAGGAGGAAAAGAAAAGCGAGGTGACGGTCTAGAGGGTGCTTTAGATGGTACATAGATCAAGGGCACTCGTTCAATTTCATTTGTTTTGCTCATTCGCCTCGATCTGATTTGTCGCTATCTTCTCGGATTTGTTTTCCCTTTGCTCAATTTGTCGAGCATCACCGTAGCTTCTGCTCAGCTTTTGCCGTCACCTTCCGCACTTCCGCAGCAACCCCCCCTCGCAGCCGGGCATCACGCAAACCGTTGGTACGTCCACAAAAGCCGACCACTGCTTCCAGGCGAGCGCCGCTCTTGACGGCCCAGGGCGCGCGCCGGACGCCTCCTTCCAGCGCTCGCCGCCGGGCCCCGCTCCGTGATGACGTTTCCGTCGTCGCCGGGCCCCATGCTGCTCGTGTCGGCCTCGCAGATGCCCGAGACGACAAAGAGGGCGGCCGTGTTGAGGAGGACAAACTCCATAATGGGGTCGTCGTCGGCGACCTCGCCGCTGAGGATGCGGCGCAGGATCTCGGCGTTTTCCCGCCGGCTCCTTGCCGGGTGACACCTCGTCGAGCTGGTGCGTCGGCAGACCAAAGTCGGCGGGCTCGACGGTGAAGTGGTCGGTCCTGACGACGCCGTCGGGCCCCTTCGCGCAGGCGCCAGATGAGGGTGGGGCCGGCGCACGAGACCTCGTCGAGCTCCTCGTCACCACAGATGATCATGGCCTTGCGGGAGCCGGCGATGGTGAGGGCCTCGGCAAAGACAGGGCCGAGCTCCTTGCGGGCGACGCCGATGACGCGGGCCTCAAGGGCGTCCTCGACCGGGTTGGCGAGGGGCCCGAGGAGGTTGAAGATGGTGCGCCAGGGGAGCTCCTTGCGGATGGGCGCGACGAAGCGCATGCCCGGGTGAAAGACGGGCGCGAAGAGGAAGGCGTAGTTGGTGGCGGCATAGACCTTCTCGAGCGTCGCCGGGCTGACGTTTGTGATGACGGGGGCGCGAGGCTGCATGTGGGCGACGAGGTCAGCCGAGCCCGACTTGGACGTCGACGCCTTGTTGCCGTGCTTGCTGACGGCGAGGAGGGCGCTCGCGAGGATGCTCGCCGTCGTCGAAATGTTGAATGTGTTGTAGGCGTCGCCACCGGTGCCGACAATGTCGCAGAGACCGCCGCCGTAGCCACCCTCGGCGAGCCCCTTGGCCTTGACGACGCGGTCGAGTGACGGCAGGTCGACGGCGGCGGCGGCCTGACGCATGACGTAGGCCGACTTGGCCATGACATCGGCGCGACGGTCGAGGTTCGTAAAGTGCAGCGAGATAAGCAGCGACGCAGCCTGGGCCTGGGACACGCGGGCCGTGAAGAAGTGGGAGATGGCCTCGGCGATCTCGTCGGCCGTCACCTGAGGGCCATTCAGAGGCACAGGCCAGAGCCTCTTGAGCAACGGCTTGATGTCGATGGGCGGGAGAGCCGCCGGGGGGTGGTCCCCGGATTTCGGCAGAGACATGGTCTTTGGTCGGGTGAGGCAATTGGGGATCGTTTGGCGTCACGAGGCAATTGACCTTGATGGACCTTGATGGATCTAGGATCACGAGTCAATCTGAGGGTTCGAGCTGTGAAACAAAGAGCTGGCTCGCCTGGGCTCCGAGACGCGAGACGGTCAACAATGAATTGATGAGTGAGTCAACCTCTGCGGTCGACCAAGCTCGAGCGATCTGCCGACTGCCGTGTCATAGTCGTGGACAGGGCCCAATTTGGCAACCGTGACCCTCATTGTGGCCCAAAAGAGCGACGGAGCGGCCCCGTGTCGGCTGTGGCGGAGCACTGAGCCACAGCTGCAGCCTCGGCCTTCGAAACCGCAGCCTCATGGGCCCAGAATTACAATGTAGCCTTCGAAGCTGCAGCTTGCAGTTTACAGTTTTCATCCATCTTGTTTTAAGTTGGGTAGCTGTAACTTACATGTGCATACATGAAGCGGTGGGCCTCGCCGTGGCCTCTGGTTGTCATGTCGCTAGCCTTGCCTCACTAGCGAAAATATAATTTGGCCTTGCTGGTGGTACCTGCTGCGAACATACATGGCGCACCTTGCATGATTCAACGTCTGCCGTACGAATTCGCTGGATTAAAATTACAGAAAGAAATTGAAGAGGCACTGCTCTCTCTGGGTATCATTCCACACGTCGTCTTCGCTCCACCCCCTACACCCCAATCGCCTCGTACCGCCCCGTCTTTGAATACGTCTTGCCGAGCCCCGGATGGATCTCGCCTGGAAAGGGGCAACGGAAACTTCTCGCCGTCAATGCTGATGTAGCCGTCTTCTGGTCGCGCGGCGTGAACCGGTACGCCGTCACCTTGCGGTAGCTGACGTCGGCATTGGCGAAAAAAGAAAGTGCTGTCGTCGCCCACGGCCGTCAATATGCCAATCTGCTTCAGGATGGATATGTCGCTGTCAATCGTGACAAGGTCGAGCAGTCCGTCGTTGGGCAGCGACGCTGGGAAAAAGTTGGACTCGGGCGCCACGAGGGGCATCTGTGACTGTTAGCCTTGACACACAGCCCACCGGCGGCGAGCAGGGACACGTACGTTGCCGGCATAAAAGTTGCCCATGTTGTCGTACTTGACCGACACCCAGCCGTCCTCAGGCAGCGCGTCGTTGATCGTGCCGTACTTGAGCGGAGGCAGGCCGGCGCCGTCTGCCTTGGTCATCGTCACCGGCGCGGCATTGAGCTTCTCTCGGTAATGCGCTCGAATGGTCTCCTTGTCGTCCAGCTCGATCTTGACGGCAACATCACAGGGATACGCCTTTTTCTTGAAGATCCTCTGCGCCACGCCGACCGTGAATCGGTGGTTGCCCATCCATCGCATGTGCTCCGTGCCGAGGTCGGCCTCGGCGATGATGCCCACCACCTGGCTGAGGAAGCTGAGCTTGCGCTCCTCGCCCGTCGTGATGCTCGTCAAGTCTATGACCGTATCTACGCCCTTGATGAGGGCCAGGGCAGCCTCACCAGCTTGGTACGTCCCAAACGTGCTGCACGACAGGGCGTTGCCCGAGCCGCAGGGGATCTGGCACACGGCAATTTTCTCGAGCGCGTGACGCGAGTCGGCGCGGGCACCGAGCCCGTTGATGATCTCGTGGGGGAGCCCATCCCCAGAACACGCAACAATGGTGTCGAACTGGGCAATGTCGAGGTCGCGAGCAATCGCAATGGCCTCGCCGGACCGCACAGTCTTTTGCATGTCAATCGTCATGCGGGCCGCCTTGAACAGAGGCTCGACATCGTGGTGCCACTTGTGGACGGCGCCTCCGGGGCCTGCGTGGGGGTTGACAAGCACCTTGGCCCTCTTCTGGCGCTTGGCCCGGCCGTAGGCTCTGGAGAGCAGTGCCTCGACCAGCTGATCGACAGCTTCGGCGCTGTTGGCCGAGATGTCCACCGTGGCCGTCACAGGGCGGAACTTGTGTTTGGACGTCGGCTGGGCATGGGTGATGTGGAGGTTGGTGCCATCGCGCTCGGCCCAGAGAACATTGTAGAGAGCGATCGTGGTATCGGGTGAGCCTGCGAAAGCTCGAGGTCAGCAGCTGCAAAAGGACGAGACCCAGCGCCGGCACCAGAGGGTGACGACGAAGACGACGACGACGATTGTAGTAATGACGACGGTACGTACCAGCGGTCCCGAGCGAAAGGCCGCAGATGCCACTACCTTCTTCGTATGCCTCCTGAGCTGTGTGCTCCAGGACGACGTGTTTCTGTTGCAGGGTCAAGACGTGGTTGCCGTTGATCGTGATTGTCTTTTCGCCGTCTCCATTGGCGTGTCCGTTGATGCCGTTCGTGTCTGCCGAGCCAGCACTCGACACTGGCTTCGGGGCGGCCGCGTGTCCGGGGGCTGCCATGGTGTTGATAGCAAATGTGGGATAACGAGAGTGATAGCGAGTGACGGGGGTATAATCGAGGTTGCAAGCAAAAAAAGGGGGACTCAGACGCCGGCAAGGTCGATGCTGTACATGCCCATCAATCCAACAATCAGAAGCAAGAAGAGGGGAAGGAGAAATCCAGCAGACATTCGACACAGTCAGACTGGAAGTTTCCCAAAATGGCGGGCGCGGTCGTTCTGGCCGCGCGTGTCACATTCTGGACGACTGCAGGGCGGTAGGGCGGTAGCAATGCGATGGGTCCGCGGCCTGTGCGGATTCCCGCGGCGCGCCGTTGCTGCTGTTGGGGGGGGGGGGGCTATACGGCTCCGCCGGAGATGAGCATGCGGTGCAGTTAAGGGGGACTTTGTCAGCGCCTGTTGGGGGCGTGCTCAGCGAGGGTATCTCTCACCACCGAGTATGCAGCCACAAGCCCCAGGATCACAGTCATGTCGACACCTGCGGCGAGCTTCGCCAAGGACAGAGCTGAATCCCATCAGCTTATGCATCCTTTGGCTTTGCATGTTCAAGTTGATCGAGAACGAGAGAGAGAGAGAGAGAAAAAAACCCCGCTGCTCAAGGGCCAACAGTCATTGGAGCGGTCAGCTAGGGAGCAGCCAGCCAGGAGCAGCCCAGTCAGGCCCTCGAAATGTGATATCCCAGGTCTACCAAACGCCTCGACGCCGATAATGCAGATACTCTTGCGGACAGAAGTCGCAAAAGACGGTCAGCCCCTCTAATCCCTGAAACCGTCCCACTCATCGTCATCGTCGTCGCCGCCCTCCTTGCCCACAGCCTCGGCACCGTCGGCATCCTCGTCCATCTTGCCCTGGTTCCACGGCAGCCTCTCATCTTCGAGCTCTGCCCGCGCGCTCGTCCGCACAGACTTGATGGGACAGCTCGTCAGCGGCTCGACGAGCTCTGCCCGCAGCCTGTGCGCAAACGCCAGCTTGGCCTCAGCCTCCTCGCCCTCGCCCTCGAAGAGCCCGACCCTCTCCATCTCGTCGACCCAGATGTCGAGCGCGTGCAGCCGCAGACCGGGCGGCACGCGGCCGACGTCGCCCTCGCTCTCAAAGTGCCACTGCTTCAGCAGCGCGATCGTCTTGTCCTGCCTCTCCGTGGCCCACTGCTTGTCGCCCACCCAGCGCAGCTGTGCCGCGAACATGCGGCGCACGAGCCGCAGGAACTTCTCCATGCGCAGCACGTCAATCTCTGTCCACTGCGGCGCCAGCACCTCGTACGCGGCCGTGAACCAGATGGTAACATTGTCGTTGCTGTCGGGCTTGCTGGCGTCCATCGGTTTCGCGCCCGGCAGCGATGCGTAGAGGTCGGCCATGTCGTTGGCGAGGTTCTGCTGCGGCACCGGCTTGTCGCACATCCACATGGCGAAGAAGAGACCCTTCCATAGCTTGAGCGCCGTCAGGTGGTCGAGCTTTCGTTGCGCCGTGAGGTAGGTCTGGAGGGAGGCCAGGGCTTTCGTGCGGATGCGGCGATCTGGGGGCCTCGAGTTAGCTCTGGATATACTTCGAGAGACATTGGCTGCTTACCGCTTGACGCCAGGTTCCTTATAAAGGGCATGTCCTGTTCTGAAGTCGCCATCTTGAAGGGCCTGTATGTTGACTTGGTCCCCTCGAAACTTTTTGGTCGGGAGCCGGAGAGAGGAAAGTTTTGGCTGGCTGCAATTGGCATTGGCTTCAAAGTGGGATGGCTGCCGACAGAAAAAAAAGTGGTTCACCGATGGTTCTGCCCCGCAAGACTCGGTGTGTTCGGTGAGTGCTGCCCCACCTTCTGCCCCCTGCTCAATATTGTGGTACTAATGCACTAAGAGACCCGAATCACCAGTATGTAGCCTCTGGCACGTTGTATGACTGATGCATTGTATACGGGTTGAGTGTATGTAAGGAGCTCCTTCAACCGTTACAATATATGCTGCGGCATCTTAATGCATGCTGCCTCGCCGTTATATGTAATCCCCGAGAACAAGTGACGTTCTTTGGCAGCGTGAGAAGAAGAGCCAGCAGAGCGACAAGGCCAACTGCCACGATCCAGCACTTTATC